GGTCATACATACTCAATTCAATGTCACCTAACAACAACATGAATTGCAATCATAGTCATCAATAGGACACGACCGCTAACAAAGCTGTTAACTTGCTGTATTATTAGTAGTTCCTTACATTATAGTGGATATGTTTTCTTGTATGTTACAATATGAAGACCACATTAAAGATGTGAGGTGTTAATTAAGACCATTTTACTCAAAATTATTTAGATTAAGTCACTTCCCCATAGTTATACAGCTGTTAGGGAATAAGATCCTTGATCTTTTGATACAAAGATGTTGTTGGTAGCCTTGTAAATAAAAGACTAAAATGTTTCCCAGTCCTGCCCATCTTCATGAGGGTTGGTATACTAGAGTCCATTATAGCTCTAATAGGGAGGGAGGTACTAGGCTTTCATTCTACGTCTGTGACATTAAAAGAATTCTTACTTACCTGTTCCTCTGCCATTCTCCCAAGATCCTTTACTTTTTCCATTACGACCCTTCATTCCCAGAGAAATTCAGACTGTCACTTCTGCCACAGCTACTTCTCCTGTTAAATTTCATTATAAACTTAACAAAATAATAATATACTCTCCAAAATGGATGCTAAATCCTCCTTTACCTAGGCCTTTTCTCAGTCTGTTGCCTTTGGCATGACTGCATTTCTTTAGAAGGGGTAAACTGCCGTTTCTGAGCTTGAGGAGGTTAGCCTGGAAAGGCAGGTTCATTGCGGAGAGTAGTCATTGCGGTCTGACTTATTCCTTAGAGAGGGGCATCATGCTTGGGAACTTGAAGGGTTGGCAAAAGAGAGGAAGACCTTCAAGCAGGTGGACTGACATAGTGAGTGTGGCAGTGGGCTCTAGTGTGTCAGGCAGTGTGAGGACAGCACAGGGTAGGACAGAGTTCAGATCTGTTGTTCCCCGGGTCACTATCTATGGTTGTACTTGATCTGACAGCTCTGAACAACAACATAACACATGGATGTTAAAGAAATATATGTAAAGTTAAAGTGGGTAGCCATCATTGAAAATCACATTTACTTGTATATAAAATATTAGTTTGAATTGCTACAAAAACAAAATATACTCAATGGAACATTTCCATCAAACAAAATATTTCTATTGAACATTTATTACATTCAAGGATGACATTTTTTAAAAAAATGACATAATGCAAGTACTTATTAAAATGTTGACCACTTAAACATCTTCTGAACCACACTCAACAGTACTCATTCATTTCTATGAAATGTGTTAGTAACAATCTCAGAGTTTAAATATAAAGCTGAGAATTTTCAGTATTACTAGCCTAGGTATACAAAGATTGTGTTGGTTGACCAGTGACTCAGGAAGTATACTTTCATTAAACTGCTGGTATGTAGAGACAGGCTAGCACCAGTTCTATAGATGCCTATCTGATTTCAGCTGGTAAAGAATCAATAGGGATGCCTTAATGCCTATTCTTGAAATATATTTTTTTTTCATAAATCTATTTCATTTCATAAGGACGGTAAGGGTCATTATATCACAATACAGACAAATTTATAAATCAAATGACAGAACTATGTCAAATACATATTGTTACAGAAAAGTATTTTCACTAACTATAAAATCCAGTGAGACAAAGGGGTAATTATACCACAGTCATTATTAAAAACTTTGTATTTTAGCTTCAAAAGTTTAAGAATTATACAAAAAGACAAGCCATTAGCATATATGAAGAGAATTTGATTAGATACAAACAACAACACTTAAAAGGTGGTTTCTTTCCACTTAAGAAGTTTCTTTAGAAAGTAGTAGCAACGTTGATTACATTTTGACCTACTAATTATAGCTGGCAACATAATGTACCTAACTTAAACAAAGCAAACCAAGTCACTGTTACACTTCTATAATTTATCTAGGCGATATGAGAGTAGCTTATATTTACTATGATATAATATTGTGCAAACTAACTTTTTTCCCCCCAAGATTTTCTGCATTTTTCAGAAGTCCTGTTTCCTAGGACTAGGATCATTACTATGTCTACCTTGGAGTCCTAAACAGTAATTTCTACTATGAGAATATAGGAACTATATTCTTTAGTGAGATAGATAAGTTACATTTTGAGAAATGATCTCAAACCTGCTGTATCAAGATAGGGCTGGGAAGATAGGAAGATATTCTGGGGCTATCCTGAAACAAAGTTTCATTTTATTTTTTTCCCCAGAGAAACACTGAGGGAAGAAAAGTGTTCTAATTGAAGCTATGTTCAAGAGCCCTATTGTCATAGTCAAATATATGAAAAGAGTTTTCCTTGAAGAATCACAGGTCTATGAGCCAAGGCAATCTTTTGCTAAATGATTGGTAGCTTTTGTTTGGCTCTGAAGGTTTCCATGGAAACAGCCTAAACACAGAAAAGGCAGCATTATTATCTTCAGCTGCTGTTATGGAATGACCTGTGTGCCCTCCCCACACAATGGGATGTAAATCCTAACCTCTATGCCTGTGGTTATAATCCCCTTGGGACTGGCCTGTCTTTGTTATGTTAACGAGGCAAGATTAGTATAGGCTATCTTTTGAGAAATTAAGCTCAAAACTCACAGCTTTCAAATCTATTCTATTTCCTAGCAACTCTCCATTGGAATTTTGAGGCTATAAATGATAATGGGAGGAGACAACCCATTTTTCTCCCTTGGCTCTGATGGTGGGATGTGAAGTGAGGAACAAGGTCTTTGGGTTAGCAGCACAACTCAATAAAAAAAGAAAAAAAAAAACCAAAAAACAATACATACACCAATAAACAAGCTAGCAAGCTACAGCGGGCAAAGACTAATGCCTCATGAAGATCCTCAAAGAAGCAGGAAGCAAACTGAAGAGGGAAGATCTTACCTCAGAGCTGACAGACAGAAAACCGCTCCCTAGAGCCAGCACCTAAATTTGGACTTCTATGCTCCTAAAGTGTGAGAGAATAAGCCACGCATTTATGGTATTTCTTTCAGCATCACTAGGACATTTATGCTGCCTTCTGATAAAACTGTACATTGACGCCATCCAGAGTACATGAATTCTGATAAACTGGACAAAGGCAAGCATGAGTTAATTCTCTCTGGCCACACTTTTAATTTTCTGCCTTACTCCACCTGAAACTTAAAAATTTCCTCAGACTATTTCCCTGAGGGCTCTATTGTGACCTAGTGATAAGAAGCTGCAATACAGTCCCAAAGGCTCAAAGTTCAAATCCTCCAGCTGCTCCGGGTGAGACAGATGGGCAATCTCTTCCCATGCAATTAATGCCTCTGAAAACCTGCCAGTCAGTCAGCTATGGGTCCGTTCCAATTCAATGGTAAACAACATTCCCCTTAGGAAATTCTAGTTCAAGTAATGCTTCAATGATCAGAAGCCAAATGAAGAAACATGAAGCATCGAGTGGTGCTCCTTTGCCAAGTTTGTAAAATTATATGGCACCAAGCATCCGTATATGAAGAACTTATTTTGAAGTTTACAATTCCATCATATCAGACTTGCGCCAGGCAAGAAATGCTATCTTGTTTATTATATACAGTTGAGCCAGGTGGCAATACCCATAATTTTTCTCCCTCTCTATGACTTTAGATTTTACAATGGTGGCAAAGCAGTTCAAGTGCTCAGCAGTGAACTGGAAAGTCAGGCAGCCTGAATTTCCTAGCTTGCTCAGTGGGATAAATGTGGCATTCTTTCAGAGTTCTGGAACTCTGTTGTACAGGGTCTCTGTGAGTTGGACACAGGGACTGTAACAATGGGCTCTAGCACGCTGGAGATTGTGAAGATGGTGCTGGACAGGGCAGGGGCAGATCTGTTGTTATGAGTCATAGCTGACTAGATGGCACTTAACAACAACATGATTTGGGACAGACTTAATGGCAATGAGTTAGCATGCTACACACCATTATCTATTCTGATTTTTCGTAGTGATTTCTCAGAAAAACTAGAAAAGCAGCCCTACCTCAGAATTCTGAATCTGAAGTACATAAAAATAGAAACAACCTTAGTAACAAAACAAACAAGGTAAGAAGGCATGCAATCTTAAGCACCATGTTTGAGACCAGAGGGTCTCAGGAGAAATGCAAGGTCTGTGTTTTTCCTTGGAATACAATTCCAAATATACAGCTCATTTATACATCTTAGAACTTATTAACAACAACAACAAAAAAGCCTAAGAAATTTTATAAACAGACACACCAAAATCCATGATTTACGACAGACAATTTGATACTGCTTCTTATTCTAAAGTTATTGAAGACATTATTCCTTAGGAAAAAATTACTCACTTTGGGAGGCCAGTTGGGAAATCATTGACAACTTGAATGAACTAAATGAATGCCTCATTAAGTTAAAAAGACATGTTATACCCCCAAACAGGACCCATTTACTCACGGAAAGTAATTTACTAATGAGCAGTTAGCTTGCTGCTGTCTGCACGTACAAGTGAACACTCCATAAGACAAAACAGCTGAAAAACACCCACACGGCTATGCATTTACATTGGAGGTGTAGATACTGAAATCGCAAAGTCTCAGCTTGGTCCTTTTGTTAAAATGGGACTGAAACTGTCAGAAGGGGGTACTTATGAGGTGGAATGAAGAAGCTAGAATTTAAAAAAATAATAAAAATAAAAAAGCAGATTGTCATCTAATGCAAAACCTGCATTTTTACTAATGGGAAAATTGAGGCCTTGTCAGAGCTGTCAGACCTAAACAATCAAAGAATCATGATCAGAAGAGAAGCCCAGGGACACTTGGTTTGGTATTTTTCCATCCACTTTCCTGTTCAGGCTCCTTTACAACTTAATTTACTCAGGCTTAGGGAAAATGACTGAGATACCAGATTGGAAAAATGCTAACTTTTTTACAATGATTTTGGCAATTCATGTTCTAATGTACTATTATTAACAAGGGGAAACCCCTAGTTATCTTTTGGTTTAAAAAAAAAAGTTATTTCCTCCTCTAAAAAAGTTCCTTTGTTTAAAGTTTTTTTGTTTGCAAGGACTGGCACTGCTCACAGCTGACAGTTTTCACACATTCCCTCTTTATGGTTAGATTCAGCAGCTCCCACATCGTCAGATGGGCTGAAATGACTGCTGTCGTGAGAATCTGTATCAATGCTTTTGGTCTCTGATTGAAGGTGTACAGAGACCTGAACTGCTATCTCCTGGCCTTGGTCATTCAGAGAACCATCATCTGAATCACCTCCTGGTGAATTACTTCTGCCCATCTCTGGGTTAATGACATAGATGCCCCCCTGAGCATCCAAGGCAGGCCTGTCTTTAATTCTCTCTCCAATGTCATCAGGGTCATCCACTCGCACAGCTTCAAACATCTCTTCCACAAAGGCCCGGCAGTTCAGAATAAGAGGTGGCAGGGGAACACTTCGTGCCAGTTCTTCGATGTAGCGAGCAAATTCCATGGTCTTAAACTGTGTGACTTTGGCAAGCTCCAGAGTCTTGGCGGAGGTGATGATGGGGATGCGTTTTGCGATCTCAAAGGCCTTCTGAAGTTTCTCAGCTCCTTCAGTTCTGAAGAACTCATTGATGGCCTTCTCAGTCTTGCGAAGATGGCTACTCATCATGCATAAACGTGTGACATTCAAGATGAGAGTGATTGTGAAGGCGATCAGGCAAACAATCATGTAGTAGACACTCATGTCTCCTGAGGTGAAGATAACACGCAGGGTCACAGAGTAGGAGGCATGGCTTGGAGAGGTGACTAGACATGTATAGAGCCCACGGTCATCAAAGGCTACGTTGGTGATATTCAGGAAGTTATCAGAAACCAACCATTTGCCACCTGATAATCCAACAGAAATGAAAAAAAAAAAATTACTGCATGAAGAATATTATTGCTAAATATTCCAACTACCCTAAAATTATTCCACCTCTTCATGAAAGTACTTGAAATTTAACTCATCCGTTAAGGTCTATTCTTTAAGTACTGTAAGCAAAGGCAGATTTTTATGTTCTGAGTCAGTATTTAACTAACCTGGGCTTTTAAAAGAAAATTCCTTCTGATACTACTAATGATTATCATAGTACCTGTTCAAAGCTATACTGCGAAATGTCTTTAAGAGAGAAAAATGACAAAAATGATCAATTTAAAAAAAAACAACTTATATTTCTTTGTAAGTCTTTATCACCATTTATAAACATCTATATACAGTGGAAGTATATAGAAAAACCCATGGTTATTTCTGGGTGATAGGTTAAGAATTTTTATTTACTTCTTTTTTAGTTAACTGCTTTGCTAACTTTCATTAATAAACTTATATTAGCAAGAAAAAAAGTTATTAGTATTTTTAAAAACGTAGCAATTTAACACACTTTTTAAATTACTTAACCAGTGAATCTGGTATGTCTCACACTTGTTAATTTGTTTTGTTAGAAAGATTTGTTAATAACACTCTTGATTTTCTGGCAAAAGTAACTAAAGCAAAAAGTCAAAAGATATATCTCAAAAGTCAGGGTAAATGAACATTTTGGCAAAGAGAATAAAATTGCCCATAAGATGTCTATGCTTCTGTTTAAAAACCAACATATTTTGCCTTTCTCCCATATAAAGCATTTTCATTCAGAAAGCATATAGACTAATATGTACCAATGTAAAAAGCAAGGCGCAATGGTCACATCTTTGGCTCAGCGTCTTTTAATAACTTGGCTCTACCTGAACAATTCTCAACTTTGTTGTAAATTTCCAAAGTACTTTGTGCTTGCTGCTTGCTTATTAAGGTCCCTCTGAAAGATACGACAGGCTAACCTGGAGCCTAGGTAAGTTCCAATGAGGACATCTTGTGTCCCAGAGTGTCACTTTGAGAGTCCAAGTCTCAACGAGATAATATGGTTGGATTATTTTAGTGCCATAAACAATAAACATTCTGGCTTCTGGGTATTTTTGTTATCATCAAATCATGTTCATATCTAAATTCTTAACTTTTAAGAGCCATTATTTCACTAATGCAAAAAAAGGAGGAAAATAAGACCCACAACTTGATGCTATTGAAAGGAAATCCTGAGCCCAAGGAAAGAGGAATCAGAGATTCCATTCTCAACCACTGCACTAAAACTACTATCAAAACTCTCTAGTTCACTGCCTGATAACAGCTCAAGATTTATGAGCCCTGTACTAGACTGACATGTTCTTTAAACTTCTCTCACTCAAGATTCATAAAATGTAACACCATTTTCCAGAGCTACATCTCAAAGTAGCAATTACAGATGTTAGTGTTTTTTCAAATTAAAAGGTAAAACAAGCAAATAAAACCGTCATTCCACTTGGCTGGTCTCATCCTAACTTATGTTTGATATATAACTTGGTTAAGGTATCAGCTGTCTATAATGATCAAATCTCAGATGTGTTTGGTCAGGATATTATAAAGCCCAGAGAGGGAAGAGTCTTGTTCAGTGGGTCACAAAGGCAGAACTTTAAACTGTATTAGAAATATTCCAATCTATGCACCACTCCAGATATTGTAATTCACTAAGTCCACATTTTCAACCAGCTAAGGGAAGCTAGTGACATAGTTTGGTCTTAGCTAATCATTTCATTCCATGAAGAACACAAGCAGATGTCAAAAAGAGGACTAGAACAAAATGCAATCTAATAAGGTGAATGAATGTCTGAGGACAGAAGAGAGCACCTAGTGGGAAGGTTCTGGGTGAGAAAGAGAAGAAAATGGGGCCTGTAGTTCCTGTTGCTGTAAAGCCTGTTCAGTGTCTGGCAACCTCACATGCTAAAGAGCAAGAACTTACTCCACGGGAAGTTGTTGGCTGTAAGCTTTACCAGAGTAGACTGTTAGGCTTTTCTTCTGAGACACCACTGGGTGGGTTATGCTACTTTTAGGTTAGTGTTGTTGCCACGTGTCACTGAGGAGGAACTGAAACACAGCTGACTCTCAGCAGGTTTTCAGAGGCATTAAGCTGCATGGGAGGAAAATGCCCATATATCTTCTGCAGAGCAGCTGGAGGATTCAAACTGTGTGCCTTTGGGTTGGCAGCACAGCTCCTTATCATGAAGTCACTAGCGCTCCCCAGATTAGTGGTTGACTATAAATCATTTGTACCTCGAAGGGATCTCAGAGTTCATCAGGTGAGTGAGGGAGTGACTGGAAGGGCTAACAGGGCTGTATGTATTGTGGAATGGCAAAGAAAAAAGATGGGAATGAGGAAGGAGATGATAAGACAAGTTGGATAGTTTTCTCGAGTCTAGCTTTTCAAACTGTTTTGACAACTAGCTTGTAGGAAGACAGAAAAGACACAGTATTATTTCAATGCTATTTCTTTACAGAATTATTTCCCAGAGCAGAGTAAAAACTCAGCTGCATAATGATTATTCCAAGTGCTTTTTATAAAAGCAGTTCCTTGAGTCAGAAGCTTTAGTGGGATGCCTGGAAATCCCCAGTGTGAATGATACTTTTCATGCATTGTTTCAATCATAAAAGCCACAAACTGAGCCAACGCTTTGGAGTCTCCTGCCTAGTGACTTGACTCAAAAGTCATTCAGACTTTCAGAAAGAACTTCCAGCTACACAGAAGCTAGATTAACAATTTTGACTTACCTTAACTAGTTTCATGGAAAAAAGAAGTAGTAATGTTCTTGGATAGTGCTGTCTACTAAATAATTTAACGGGAGCTGCAAGTCACGCATTTAAAAAAAAATTTCAAATAGACACATTTTGAAGAAGCAAAAAGAAAGAAGTGATATCAATTTTAACTGTAACCTTTTTAAACCTACATTCAGACCTTAGTAGGTAAGAGTTGTACTGTCAACCCAAAGGCACACAGTTTGAATTGACCAGCTATTCCTTAGAAGAAAGATGGATAATGTTTTCTGAAAACTTGCTATGAGCCAGGTATGTGTCAGTTGTGATTTAACAGCACATAACATTTTTTAAAAAAATTATTTCAACATTTAGTCAATATTAAAAGATTACCAATTTTTTTTTTATCTTCTTTTCCATGGTCAAGCTTTGAACCTCTGTGCATTTTACACTTAAGACACAGCTCAACCTGGACTAACAAACCACTAGTGTTCAGTAGTCACATGTACAGTACATGGAACAGCAAAGTGAAAACGATCCCCAAGGAAAACATTCAAAGGCCCTTAGCAAAACTCAGATGCAATAGAAATTAGCATTTTAATGGCACTTCAGAGAGATCCTTTATTTTTCTTTGTGAATTTTCTCCCCCTCATTCTGGAATTACTTAAATTTAGTCTAGATTGCAGCAATCCTTATTTATTCTACTCTTTCTAATAATTCAAACACTTCAGTCTCTCACTGACCAGCTATCCTGTTTCAAATGTTTAGTACATACTTCCAAAAGAAATACCATTTGCTTCCTTTGCTGTTTCCCATTCTAATAAAACAGCTAAATTGCCTTTATATTATAAGAGGTGAGACTATCTTTCTAACAACAATAACAACAGCAGCAACAACAAAAGAAGCCTTTTCGGAAAGCGTGGTCTGTGGAGATCTCAGAGCTTACTCATTGTTCCACTAGCTTTACATGGTGCTTTCTTTTTTGAGGTTAACTCAGAAGGGGCGCTAGTGGTGCTGTGGTAAGGACATTTGGCTGCTAACCAAAAAGCTGGCAGTACCTCCTTACCAGGTGCTCCACAGGAAAAAGAGAGGCGGCCTATGTAAAGATGTGCAGCCTAGCAAACTATCAGGCAGTTCTGCTCTGTCCTATGTGAGGAACAGGGTTCTTCATCAAATTATCTTCTGAATCAAAGAGAAACTCTCCTGCTTTTAACTAAATAAAGGAACAGACTAGAAAAAGGAGCTAGAAGGCCCTTGACAATGGTTCCTCAATGTTCTTTTAACTGTCAGGTGGCTCAAAGTTTGCTGCCTACTCTCATTTAAAAACATTCTAGATTTTCTCCAACATTTGTAACAATTCATTTCAGAGCAAATACCTAATTAATTATGACAAAGTTAGGTAAGTGTATCCCAAAGGCTTCCTGCATTTTCTCAGGACCACACTCTGGGCTGTTCACACTGCCCAGCTTGCCCTGTCTTCTGTAGCAACTCTGATGTGGTCTACCTTCAGTGAAGAAGGAAACCAATTCACCAGGAGGAGAGAAAACAGTGTATTATCAGCATGTCAATACTTTCTAAAAACGTAATGCTGTTCTTCATGTTTATTTATTTATTTTTTTTTTGGCTAAGCAATTAAAATGGTTTCACTCTTTTGGTTAGGTTTAACCCACTAGGCCTTTTAGCTGTTTTAACTATTCACTTTAGTACCTCATCTCTGAGATTTCTTATTAAATATACCATAAATCCAAGACAATACTAGGAGGAAATGGGCAACCTTGATCAATTGTACCTTAGCATCATTAATTCAAGGAGCTCTGGTGTCACAATGGTTGAGTGTTCGGCTGATAACCAAGAGCTCACTGGTTTGATCCACCAGCCACTTCTTGGGAGAAAAGATTTGGTAATGTTCCTAAAGATTTCAGCCTCAAAAGCCCTGTGGGGAAGTTTTACTCTGTAGAGCTGCTATGAGTTGGAATCAACTTGATGGTACACAACAACAGTTACCTCTGATTTTGTCATCCAGTTGCTGTCCTTTTGAGTTGTACCAATGGACGTCTTCACGGTGGCTGACTGTGAGAAGACACTCGATTGAAACACTAGCTCCTTCTTTTGCTATGATGACATCGTCGCCTGGGTGGGAACCTGCTGAGAGTTCAAAGCTTGGGGGGAAGGATGCATTGGAAGAACTGTGATTTGCTCCCAGCAGAGCCATTTGACTGAAGTCTTCATCTTCTAAAACGAAAGCAGCTGGCACGATGACACTCACCACAACAGTGAATAAGCAACAATGTGGCTTCATGGGAAAATGGGAGAAAATTTTGTATAGTTCTGGAGAACTCAAAGGTGTATAAGAAGATCACAATGAGGAAAATTATTTGATACTGAATTTTTCTAAAAAAATGGCAAATCCTGTTGTGCTCGGAAGTCTTCAATATTAAAAGGTGTCGATATAAACCAACCTAAAAGGAAGCAAGAAAAAAATTAACTAAGACTAATCATAAGGTGAAAGTGTATACACACACACACACACACACACGGAATGAATAGATGTGAAATTGAGACAAGTGGTACTCATATCAAGGAAATGAAAGCAATAATCTAAAAAACTCATGTAGAGATAGGACACAGTGCTGTGAATCAGGAAATAGCAGAACTAGATTCTGGTCCCAGCTTTGCTACACGAGCTGTACGACCCTGGTAAGTAGCATTATCTCTGGGCTTCTGTTTTCTCATCTGTCAAATGAGAAAATGGATTAGAAGATCTCTAAGGGCTCTTCCAGTTGTGAAATGCTATGATTCTATTTCATCCTGACAAATTCTATGCAACAGGGAGCCAATGCAGGCTACAATATTTAGCTTAATGTTCCTTTATTTCATCCTGCACCATTGCCATCTGTTGTTTTATCAATAATGTAAATCAACTGGTACACCATAATAATAATCACGCAGCCTGAATTTTGAGTAATTCAAGTGCATAGGTATATTAGATATAAGTAATGAAGGGATATACGAGTTGGGGGTATTTTTCAAAACACTTTAAAGAGAACTGCACTTACTGCAATATATAAATTGACCCTTGAGGCTACAGAACCTCCCTCTTGCTAGGAATGTTAGCCAAAAGACTTCCTTAAGTAGTTTCTTCAATACTAAGAGACAAAATAGCATATATTTAGCAGTTTGTAAGACTACCAAATTTCCAACTGATAGCCTATAAATCAGTTGAGGGAAGAACTAACATCCTGTGTATCCAGCTGGTAGAAAGAGAAGTGCCAGACAAATTTAAAAGAAGGGTAAAATATGAATAATAATTAAAAAACAAATCCCAGTATAAGAGTCTATGAGATTATGATCAGCTTCCTGGTAATCGGATTCCTTTTTTTTTTTCTGATTCCCTTTTTAAACAACTGACTCTTAAAATAAAATTTTCAACTTCTATTTCTATAAAATATGGACTGAAACCCAGTTTTATTTCTGGTAAAGGCCCAAGATTTCTAGTTTTAGAAATGACATTTACTGTCCCTTATACTTACATGAAGACTGGTTGATCATACAAAATAGCAACCAATAGGTCTTTACACTTTGTCATTTAGTTCCTTAAAGTCTGAATTACAATGATTTGTAAATGCTATTTCATTTTCATTTGTTTTGAAACAATGTATGGATGAGATAAATAATTTTCTAAATCTTTAATATTCCAGGATGGACTATTTGTAATAACACAAAGAACTTCAGACTTTGGTTATACATGACAAGTTCAGCACACATTCCTCCTTAATTTTGTCCCAAAAGCCTCTTAAAATGATACCAAAACAAACAAAAGAATTTAAGCATTAGAAGAGATTTTAGAAATAATGTGATTTAATCTTTTTACTTCACAATGACTTGTTCCTTAAGATAATTCTCTAAATTAGTAAGGGAATCCAAATTAGAATCTAGTTTTGCTTTTTAAAAGGCACAGGTAGTAACAAAGAAAAAAACATTGAATGACAGCCACAAACCAGGTACTGTCCTGGGGACTCGGCATGTGTAAGCTTCTGAGGTTCTTTTGGGAGTTCCCAATTTCTTTTCACTTTAAGATATAGAACTATTGTTGACCATGATTCTGCTCTTTACTCTAGGTAGGTGGTTCTTAATGGCAATAAAGTAGGAGTATACTGGGAAAAGGCTCCAAGATTTTTCTCTATCTTCCTTCTCCCAGGTCTTGCTAAGGGACACTTGTGGGTTCTACTTTCTATACTTAGAAGTTACGATTTTCCATATGTTACTGCTGTTTTTGTTTGTTTGGTGTGTGTGTGCTTCCTTTGATTCAGGCCAGTTTTTCTGGTTACTAGCCATGCATCGGAGAGCTGGATGATGAATAAGGATGACAGAAAAAGAATTGATGTCTTTGAGCTGTGGTCTTGGAGAAGAGCACTGAACATCCCATGGACAGCCAAGAGAATGAACGTATTGAAGAGGGTGCAGCTGAAGTCCTCTTTGGAGGTAAGAATGAGGCTTTGTCTCACATACTTTGGACATGTTACTAAGAGGGGCTATTGCTTGGAGAAGTACATGATGCTGGGAAGGGTGGAGAGGGTCGGCGAAGGAGAGGAAGACCCTCAACCAGGTGGACTGATATGGTGACTGCTGCAATGCGTTCTTGAGTGTTCAGAAAGTGTGAGGATGATGCAGGATAGAACAGGATTCAGATCTTTTGTTCATAGGGTCACTATGAGTCATACATGACTCAATGGTACCTAAAACATCTATGTACTATATTGTTATTCATTTATACATTTCTTTCAATTTATTCATACGTTTATAAAAAAATGACCTTTATCTCCCTTCACTGGGTAAAAGTTAGTGTACTCAGAAACAGTGAAAATAAAGTAGTGCTATTAATCTTAGACACGGACACTACTAGAGTTCTAGTTTCCTTTACAATAACCTTGTTTGATGTGGTCCAGATTGTCTGGTAGATCCAATAAGAAGTAATCACTCACATTTCACTTGATTTAGACTATTCTAGAAGTGCATCCTTATAGGTCTCTGGTAAAGGCAGAATAGCAGAGTGGTTCAGAACACTGACTCTGGAGTCAGATTTCCTGACTCAACCCCCAATGCTAACTCTAATCAGTTATGACATTTAAAAAAATGATTTATTCTATGACTAAACCCCCTCCTCTTTAAAATGGAGGAAATAAAAGAAAAAGCGCTGCTAGTGCAATGGTTAGGACTCTGCTTGCTAACCAAATAATTAAAATTAACTCAGCAATGAGCAGGTCATTCTCTTAAGACTATTCTGAAATCTGAATGAGACAGTACATGTATGATGTAAAGTTGAGCAACAATAATCACTGAGTTGTAGTTATTATTATTGATACTTCTCTCAGCTATTTTACTGATGTTAATCATGAAAGCTACATCATCATTTAAGACTAAAATAACATTTTACTTAGACTACTACACAATCATTTTAAATGCTAGGGGAGTAATTAATTATTGTTAGGTGCCATGGAATTGAGTACAACTCATAGCAACCTAATGAACAGCAGATCTGAACCCTGTCCTGTGCCATTCTCATCAGCTCTGATATACTTAGTTGAGCCCATTGCTGTAGTTATTCCATCAATCCATCTCTCCCTTGCTCTCTAATCTTTTCCAGGCAAGATATTCATTTCTAAAGAATATCCTCTCCTAACAAAACATGGCCATCATGAGTTGTACTCAATAACACCTATAACAACATGTGAGCTGAAGCTTCTCCATCCTTGCCTCTAAGGAGCACTCTGGCTGTACTTTTTCTCCAAGACTTATGTGTTTGTTCTTTTGGTATTCCATGGAACACTCAGTGCCCTTCTCCTACACAATAACGCAAAGGCATTAATCTTTCTTCTGTCATCCTTATCATTATTGTCCAGATCTCAGATGCATAATAGGTAACGGAAAAGACTATGGTTTGCATCAGGCATTCCTTAGTCATTAAGCTGACATTATTGCTCTTTAGTATTTTGAAGAACTCCGTATTAGCAGACTTTCCCAAATCAGTATATATTTGGATATCTTGGCTGCTAGTATCAATAGTGTTGATTGTGGATCCACATAAGAGGAAATCATGGAAAACTTCAATCTTTTCTGTATCTATCATGATGTTTCCTATTGGCCCAGCAGTGAGACCTTAGTTTTCCTGATGTTGAAATGTAATCTATATTCTTTGGAAACAAGTGTTTCAAGTCCTCCTCACTTTCAGCAAACAAGGCTGTGCTGCATTTTAGCATTATGCAGGTGGCTAATGAGTCTTCCTCTGATCCTGATAAAGTCCAGCTTCTTGAACGATGTGTTTAGAGAAAGGATACAGCTCTGATGCACACCATTATTTTAAACCATGCAGTGTTCTCCTGCTCTGTTCAGGCTGCAGCTTCTTGGTCTAGGCCTTGTATAAGTACCATTAGGTGTTCTGGAATTCCTAGTCTCCTCAATGTTAGCAACTGTTATGATCTGCATAATCAAATACTTTCATATGGTCAATAAAACACAAACAGGCATTCTTGTGGTATTCTCTGCTTTCAAGAAGATCCATCAGACATCAGTAATATACCTCTGGTGTCACTGACTCTTCCAAACCCAGCTTGAACTTCTAGCAGTTCTCTTTCAATATACTGTTCTAGCCATTTTTGTATGGTCTTCAGCAGTATTTTGCTTGTGTGTTATATGAATAATATTGTTCGATAATATCCACATTCTTTTGGATTCCTTTTCTCGGGTTTGGGTGGGAACAAATACAGATTTTTTTTCTAGTCAGTTGGTCAGTCAGCTGTTCTTTAAATTTCCTGGCATAGACTGATAAACATGTCCCAAGTTGTATCTGTTAGTTGAAAAATTTCAATTGGTATCCCATTTATTCCTGGGCCTTATATTTTACCAGTGTCTTCAGTGCATCTTGAACATCTTCCTTTGTTATTACAGGCTCTTGTTCACATGGTGCATCTTGAAATTTTTCAGTGTTGATGGGTTCTTTTTGGCACAATGACTCTTGTGTATTCCTCCCATCTTCGTTTAATACTTCCTGGATCATTCTAGATTTTGCCCACAATATCTTTCAGTATTGCAACTTAAGGCTTAAATTTGTTTTTTAATTCTTTCAGCAATATCTTTCAGTATTGCAACTTAAGGCTTAAATTTGTTTTTTAATTCTTTCAGCATGAGAAATGCTGAGCAAATTCTTCCCTTTTCATTCTCTCATTCCAGCTCTTTGCACATTTTGTTACAATGTTTTGTCTTCTCTAGATGCCTTCTGAAGTCTTCTGTTCAGCTCTTTTA